CAGTCATCAATTTTCGAGATAAAATCAATTTTACGCTTGTAATTAGTCAACGATATCATCTGAGATTTGTGATCTTGTACTTATTGAAAGGAATTTTGAACAAATAAACCTGAATTAATATAATTAATTAACGTAAAGAATTTTGTCGTAATATTAGATATTTTTAAATATACTTAGACATTTTTTTAAATATAATTAATATAGTTAGTCGTTATTTTTATAGGATTATATTTGTATGTATTACAGATTAATGTTATACGTATTACTATTTTGCTGTTGCGCATCGAGTGTAACGTGATAAAAACAACTTACAAGGAGGTAAAAGAGGATTCGAGCAGAGGAGAAGGAGGTCTAGGAGAGACATCGGGTGCCAGTGGAGCAACTTTGCGGTAAGCATTATTATTTATAATACCTGCGTACAATTAATCGAATCATTTTCTCTCATTTATTTTGATTGTTTTATTTCGATGATTAAAAATAAATATTGAGAAGGATTTGTTGCAACTGTGGAGTTAATCAACATTTTGTAAAAACGGAAAATATGATCTCTAATTATATATACGCTTTGTAAGTTCGTCACTTTAACTGTAGAGTTTATTTTATTCGTTGTTACAAAATATAAGTTAATCCACTGTTGCAGCATGCTTTTCAAGAGAAAAAGAATTAATTTGAAACTTTATGAAAGCACTTTATTTTTATAAAGATCTTTTGTGAAAGATATGTATAATTATTTTAACAGACATTTTATAAAAATGTGATAAGAAATTCTATGCAAGCAAAAATTATCTTTTAAATTATTGATTATTTTAATTATTATCTAGAGCAAAATTTTAACTTAGATCTTATATTTGTATGTTACAGAATCATCGTAGCTAGCCTGATAACTCCACTGTTGCGCATCGGTCGGTGAGTGACAAAAAATTTTATTAATAAAGTAATAAATCTTTGAAAATTGCCTGCTTTCTCAGGGACTCATATTGATGAGTACAGGAGTTGGCATTTCCACCCATTTATGTTGCGATTCACTTGGCACTTCGTAACGATTTTAGAATAATTTTATTCCAATTATTTATCAAATATTGTACATAACGCTCTCAACGTTGCGAAAATCAAGTGAAACGCACTCTAAATAAGTTTATTCATATTTCTATATAAATATTATAATCTTAAAGTATAGATAAGAAGACACGCGTTTAATATTTTATATAACATACGCATTTATAAATATACATACGGTTTGAAATAGTTAAGAACAATTTTAATTGTTGATTATTTCTGTGCTTTTGGAAGCAATTGCCATGGTGAAAAGGTACAAATAAAAAAAATAAAAAATAAATAAATAAATAATAGAGGAATCAAATTCACTGTGGTTCCTCTGTATTAGAATTAGATATTAAGAAATACGTTTGTACGGAGGAATGATAACAATCGTTATACGCGTAATAGGTTTTTTTAATCGTCTCGTTGAAATTTGAGAGTGCCTGCTGCAGACACAGAATTAATCCTGGGTTTTCTTGTAATCACGGATTCCCGGTAGCAATGATTTTGGCATCAGTTAGCGACGACCACCATATATTTTTCAAAGTCGAGTCGCGAAATTAATAATGAAAAAATAAAGTGTGGGAAAAGATTTTAATCGTTTCTTAAATGTTTTCCCATTAATGCTATTACTAATATATAATTAATTTGATCTTGTTGTGTAATACTTATATTACGCAATGAAAAATGGAAAACGGTGACAGTCGTTAATTCATTGCCAAAATAATTGCTATCCGGGGGCAATCCGGAAGATTCGGGATTCATTCCTTCTTGCAGCAAATCTCTTGACATTCGACGAGGCTTTTTACTGAAAAAATAATTATGCTACACTTAATAA